AACCAAGATATGGACTCAACATGAGTGTCCATCAATAGAGGATGGGATAAAGAAAATGTGATACATATCACACACACACACACACACATATAAACACACACATATATATATACACACATCATGGAACACCACTCAACCATAAAAAAGAGTAAAATCATGTCTTTTGCAACAGCACGGATGGAACTTGAGGCTGTTGTCTTTAGGGAAATAATGCAGAAAGTCAAATACCGCATGTTCTTACTTATAAGAGGAAGTGAAATCATGTGTACACATGAACATACAGTGTGAAATAATAGACATTGCAGACTCAGAAGGGTAGGAAGGTGGGAGCGAGGAGAGGAGAGAGGGTTGACAAATGAAAAATGTCTTAATAAATACAATTGCATTATTCAAGTGATGGTTACTCCAAAAGTCCAGGCTTCAACACTACACAATATATCTATACAACAGAATTCTACTTGTATTCATACAAATAAAAATAAAATGAAGATGATGGTAATGCTTAATTCATATGGTTGGTAGGAGCATGTAAATTAATAAGGTGTTTAAAACAGAGTCTGGTACATACTAAACTGTCAACAAACACACTAGCTATAAAAAAAAATTATAAAGTCATCCTGTTTCTGTGAAAGAGCCTCCATTCATTTCTAAGAGTGTTCATTATCTCCAAAACACATAATATATCCCTTAGAGGCACTGGAAGCCATGATGAGTTAATTCCAAATATCTTGCCACATAATTATGAGGTTGGAGTTGTTTTAAATAATTAACTAGCTAAAAATAAAACAAGAGAATTAAAATGTACACTGTTTAAGCTGACAAAGCAAATTGGGAAACACTTTTATCTGTAGTGTACTGAATTTTTCCACTGAGATATAAAGTTGAACAACCCCAGTACTCATCAAAAACTTTCCAGATGTATTTTTATGCAGAGATAGTCTATAACAAGGGCACCAGAAGCAGACATATAACATTTTTTTTCTGGAAGTCCTTTACCCCAACTCTTCCAATTTTTAGCGTTTCTTGCTACGTGAAACTTGGTGGAAAACTGTGTAACATTGTTTAAGAACTGTTTTATAGTTTCCTACTATGTGAAATCTGGTGGAAAACCATGTAAAATTGTTCAGCTGGGCACAGTGGCTCATGCCTGTAATCTCAGCACTTTGGGAGGCTGAGGTGGACAGATCACTTGAGGTCAGGAGTTCAAGACCAACCTGGCCAACATGGTGAAACCCTGTCTCTACTAAAAATACAAAAATTAGCCAGGCATGTGGCACCTGCCTGTAGTCCCAGCTACTTGGGAGGCTGAGGCAGGAGAATCGCTTGAACCTGGGAAGCATAGGCTGCAGTGAACTGCACTCCAACCTAAGCAACAGAGCAAGACCCAATCTCAAAACAAATAAACAAACAAAAAACAGAAACAAAGAGACAAACAAAAAAACAGTTTTCAGGATGACATGAATTCAAATCCTGGTTCTGCCTAAATTGTCCTGGAACATGGGCAAATGTCTTAATGTCATTAAGCCACATTTTCCTCATTAATAAAATGATAACAATAACAATCCTACCTTGCCATGGAGTTGTCAGGATCAAATGAGTTATGACATGTAAAACACAAAGAACAGTGCAACTGTACGAGGATTCTATATAAATGAGAATAGTTCTTTTTGAAAATCTGCTTACCATGCTCACAGCTTAGCTGCCAGCAAACTTGTCTTAAATATGGGGGAAAATAGACATCCTTGTTTGTCTCTGCTTACTCACATTATCTGGACTTACTTATGCACTGGCCATGATGTTTTATCAGCTATGTTCAGTACAGGAATTCCAACTCAATTCACTGGGAAAGAAAATAAAAAGAAAAGCCATGAAAGAGGAGCATATTTGGCTCAGTTCTCAGGCTTTCTTATTAAATACCAATTCATAATACTAGGTTATTATACTGGAAAATGACAAAAAAACAAGCTCAAGTATACCAGTGGCTGATTTCAAGTACACTAATTTTATGCCTTCATATTTAAAGTAAATTTTTTGTAGACGGCATGCAGTGGGTCTTTTTTTTTTTCTTTTTTAAAAATCTAACGTTCTTTTTCAATTTGCTAAGTTTACACTGTATTTAATGTACTCATTGACACAATGAATTAAAATCTACCATCAGACCAGGCACAGGTGGCTCACACCTGTAATCCCAGCACTTTGGGAGGCCAAGGCAGGTGAATCACTTGAGGCCAGGAGTTCAAGACCAGCCTGACCACCATGGTGAAACCCCGTCTCTATTAAAAATGTAAAAATTAACCAGGCATGGTGGTACACACCTGTAATCCCAGCTACTTGGGAGGCTGAGGCAGGAGAATCTCTTGAACTCAGGGGGCGAAGGTTACCATGAACTGAGCTTGCACCACTGCACTCCAGCCTGGGTGACAGAGTAAGGCTCTGTCTCAAAAAACAAAAACAAAACAAGCAAACAAAACAAAAAAACCCCTACAATCTTCCTAGGTTTTTTTCTGTTTTTTCCGTCTTGTCTTTGTTTCTTTTGTCTTCTTTTCCTTTTTAAACTATTTACTATCTTTATGGTTCCATTTTATCTCCACTATTGATTTATTATTAAATACCTCTCTTCAAAATTGTTTTAGTTATTGCCCTAGAGTTTACATTATATATCTGGAATTCATGAAAGTATGCTTCTTTATAATACTGTGCCATTTTATGAGTTGTTTAAGGATGTTGCAAACATATACTGCCAATTATGCACTCTAATACTTTATATTATTATACATTTTCCTTGTATGTATTCTATACATAAATATAGAGTATATTCCTACTGTTTATGATTTAGACAGTCATCTTTTAAACAATTGAAAATACAAAAAGAATAGGTCTTATGTCTATCTATCTTCATTTAACTCATTTTCAGTGCTCTTCATTTCTTTGCACAAATGTAAATTACTGATTGGCATCATATTTCTTATGTCTGAAGAAATTCCTTCAATATTTCTTGCAGTGAAGGGCTGCTGACAATGAACTTGCAGCATGTGTGTCTGAAAAATGTCTTTATTTCTCTTTTATTTTTGAATACATTCACTTGGTTTAACAGGGTTTCTTTATTATTTCAGCATTTGACAGATGTTTTCTGGCATGCACTGCTTCTGATAAGAAATCTGCAGTGAATCTTGTTTTTGTTCCTCTGTATGCAATGTGTCTTTTTTCCTCTGAATGTACTTATAATTTTCTTCTTATATTTGGTTTTCAGCAATTTGAATGTGACACGTATAGGTGATAGCCATTTTGTTAAATCCATAGTATACAGAGCAAAACAAAAAAGTACCTGCATAAATAGACTTTGGTCTAATGGGGAGACATTAAAAACTTAAACTCTCAGATAAATATATAATTATAAATTATATATTATGAAAAAAATGAAACAATTTTCTCAGAGAGGATAATAATAGAGGAAGCTTAAATTTAAAAGGATAGAATAAGGCCAGGCACGGTGGCTCACATCTGTAATCCTAGCACTTTGGGAGGCCAAGGCAGGCAGATCACTTGAGACCAGGAATTCAAGACCAACCTGGCCAACGTGGTGAAACCCTGTCTCTACTAAAAATATTAATACAAAAAGTTAGCCAGGCACAGTGGTGTGTGCCTGAATTCCTGCTACTCAGGTAGCTGAGGCACGAGAATAGCTTGAAGCCAGGAGGTAAAGATTGCAATGAGCTGAGATGGTGCCACTGCACTTTCCCCTGGGCAACAGAGCGAGACTCTGTATCAAAAAAAATAAAATAAAATAAAGTAAAATTTAAAGGGTAGAATAAACATTTCCAGAATGGCAAAGCAAGGACCTCCAAAAATTTGCTCTTCCATAAAAGCAATTATAACACAGGTAAAACAGTGTTTTGAAACTCTAGAAACTAACCAAGGACATGCAACAATTCAAGGAGTATTCATTCAAAAACAATGACTGAATCTCAGGGTCAACAGTGAGTTTTGTGGTACGTTAGCTTGCTTTATCCACCAGCTTTGCGGTAACCTTGAACACCAGCACACATGGAACTATGGTAGCTGAAAAAAACAATGGTCTAACAACCATTGAAGTGAACAAAATGTGTTGGAGATTGCTAATGGGCCTGCTTCCCAGAGAACTGTCACTGTTTCATCTATTTGGCAGCTTCCTGGGAAAACCCCATTCACAATTTTGTCTCTATTTCACCAGACTCAGTTCACTCAGTGAGAAAGTTTTATTCCTAGAGTGTTTGTCAAAGCATTGAGCAGCAATTGTTTAACATCGCAATTGCCTGAAAAATGTAAATATCAGTTGGAGCATACAATAATCTAATCAAACTCTTAAAAAAATCGATGAGGGCATTAGAAATCTATAGAGGGCTTTGAAAAGCTCCCATATATTCCTAGGGATTACAAAAGTCATGCATATGGGCAAGGCCCTATGTATTCACAGGAAAGACCTGAGAGGACCTAATGTTTCATTTGTGGCTGATCTTGAGGCTCTGCACAAAAAGGACATGAAGATTAAAGGCAGAATTTAAACTGCTGGAGCACTGAAAACATGCTCCAGCACACGCGTGCAAAGCCCATGCATAAGGCTTCAGAGAATTAACCATTTAAAGCACTTAAAAAACTCTGTCCAATTGTTAGTTGACCGCTAACTAACTGAGTAGAAATCTCAGTGGCCACACACAACAAGAAATGCAGAATTAACACAAGTAACTCAGGAAAATCACTAAACAAACAAAAGTACTACCAACAATAACAAAGCCTAGATGGGAGGAGAGAGATGCTTTTTAGAATGTGCTATTTTTTTATTATTTAAAATATCCAGATTTTAACAAAAAAAGTGTCACTTAAAGAATGAGGAAAGTATGGCCAATTCATATGTTTAAGAAAACAGTCAATAGAAACTGTCCATGAGGAAATCCAAAATTGGACTTAGTAGACAAAGATTAATATGAGGTGGAGGAAATTATCTTATTGTGAATCCTTTATAGTTAAAATATGAATCATATAGAGGCCTTTGCCTTCCCTACAGTCTTTTTAAAGGCACTCTTAACCTCTTTGTTCCTCAGGCTGTAGACCAGTGGATTCAACATGGGAATGACTATGGCATAGAACACAGATGCCATTTTGTCCATGCCCATGAAATGGCTGGAGCTAGGTCATAAGTACATAAAGATGCCTGTCCCACAAAAGATGGAAACTGCAGTAAGATGGGAAGCACAGGTGGAAAAGGCCTTCTGGTGTCCTTCAGATGAGCGCATCTTCAGGATGGTGATAAATGTAAGTAAGTAGGAGATTAAGATTACCAGGATAGAAAAGAAGTCATTGAATCCCACCACAAAAAAAATAACCATCTCACTGATGTAGTTGTCTGAACATGAGACAGCCAAGAGAGGAAGAGCATCACAGAAAAAGTGTTCAACTACATTGGATCTGCAGAAGGAAAGCCTGAAAGTGTTCCCAGTATGAATGGGTGCATTCAGGAAACCACAGACATAGGAGCCTATGGCCAGGCAAGCACATACGTTTGTTGTCATGGTGGTGGTGTAATGCAGGGGTTTACACACTGCTGCATAGCGGTCATAGGCCATTGATGCCAGGAGGGAATTTTCTACAGTGATAAAGGCTACAAAGAAGAAGAATTGTGTGACACAAGCATTGTATAATATGAATTTGTCTCCTGTGAGGAACCCCACCATCACCTTGGGAGTGACAGCTGAGGAATAACCAAAGTCCACCAGGGAGAGGTTACTGAGGAAGAAGTACATGGGGGTATGGAGACAGGAGGCCAATATAATCAATTCAATCATCCCCAGGTTCCCAACCAGAGTGATGAGGTAGACAAAAAGGAAGACTATGAAGAGTGGGATCTGCTGTTCTAGGTCATCAGTTAATCCCACAAGAATGAATTCAGTCACCTCTGTGTTGTTCTCCATTGGGAATGATGTAGCTGCCCTGTAGAAATGAAAAGACAGAATCAGAATGATAAATGGAGGGAGGACTACTGAGATCAGTCACTATGCCCATTTTGTGCTTTATTCCAGTATTTTAATTACTTGTTTCCAGCAGTCCTGGATCTAAAACATGCCCATGACAACAAAATGCAATTGTAAATTACAATAATTCATAGAGCATTCTTAATAAAATGATTTTGGAGATAATCCATCCCAAACTCCTAATTTCATAGATTACTGAACTAAGGTACAGAAAAGGAAAGATTCATACAAGATCACAAGACTAATTAATTGGAACAGGCAAAACATAAACCAAATCACTTTGAATTAAAGCCTTCACTTTTTATCATAAAGAAAAATTCCTTTAAATCTTTTACATTCAACCTAAACTGGACAGAAGATAGTAATTTATTTAATTGACGAACTGACTGCCTGATGGAGTAATTAAATCTATCATTGTAAGTCAATGTGAAGAATGGAATAGCATGAAATTAGGAATCAAATATACTTACCAGTTTTCTTGGCTTCACGCAAATAACCTACATTTCTAGATCTCAGTTAAATGATAATAACTGCATCCACAAATGTTTATAACCTCTTCCAACCCTTAAAAAATCTTCAAAGAGTTAAAAAGGAACATGACTCTTCAGTAATACCAACCAATTGACCAATCAACATAAATTTCTGTATGTGTTCATTTCCTCATTCTCTCTACAAGCACTAATTTCGAATAGAGCACCATGTTGCGTGCTAATTGCCAAGTTTACACTAATGCACGAGATATATTCCCTGACCAGATAGATATCTAAATTGTTAAATATCATGTTCAAGTTCAGAATATTCTTATTCTCCATTCCCAAGGAGAGAGAAGTGTTTTCTCATTTGCTCAGAACTGTGTGATAGATGTTAATCGCATCTACACTGCAGACCATCAGTCAGTACATAATGTAGTTAATAAATTGTGTCCAATGACCAGATGTTTTTAGTGGCAGAATTAGAACATGAAATTAGGTCTCCTCATTCCACTAGTTAGTTGTGCCTTATGTAATTTTGCACATCTCTATTTCAGTGCATTTTATAACTGGCTTCTAAGCCTGATTTCTTCCTCATTTATTAATCACCATTCCTTCTGTCTTTCTTTTTTAAAAAAAAATTAGTATGGGCTTCCAGATTACAGTAAAATTTTATGTTGACATTCCATTTGATTATCTCAACAACTCTAGAATTAGGAGAACTAATATTATCATATTTCCTGAAAAAGAAAATTGAGAAATAAATAGTTTAAATAACTTGTTCAAAGTAATGTAATCTTATTCTTTGTAAAGCAGGGACTCGAGGCCTTCTTGTGCTTTTTCTTTATGTCACATAATAAGTATACATATTCTAATAGAAACTCATTAGTGCTTAGAAATATGAGTTGAGAATCCCTAATCCAAAAATCCAAAGTCTAAAATGCTTCCAAATCCAAAACTATTTGAGCACCAACATGATGCTACAAATGGAAAATTCCACACGTAAGTATGTAGCACAAACTTTGTTTCATGCACCAAAATTATTTAAAATATTACATAAAATTACTTAGGCTATGGATATAATGTATATATAAAACATAAATGAATTTTGTGTTTAAATTTGGGTTTTATCCCCAATATATCTCATTATAAATATGTGAATACTCCAAAATTAAAAAAAATCCAAAATCCAAAACACATCTGTTCCCAAATATTTTAGATGAGGAATATTCAACATATATAGCCTCTGGATGTGTGAAACAGATAAAAGAAACATTCAAAATATTAGAGTCAAATCTCTGATTAAACCAAAGGAGAAATGGGTACCTTGATGCATTTTTCTAGCTACCTCTGCCCCTGCAACTTTGTGCAGACAATAGATTTGATCCAGAGACTTACCTTTCCCCCTGAGAAATACAAAATTCGGGTCCAGCACTTTCATATATAAGTGAATGTCACATCAGAAATTAAGTTCTTTAAAAAAGGAAAACAACTTTTTGAAGACTCCTCTTTAGTGTTTGGCCAAAAGGCTTAAAGTTCTTTAGAGGCAGGGGGAAATTGAAAGAAAAATGCTATTGGCTTTGGAATCAGCTAACAAGAGCTCTACTCCTGTATTTACTGCTCCTTCTTTGTACATAAGACTCTTAACTCATTTGTATATCAATAGCTGAATCTATAAAAAAGAAAATAATAAAAGATAGCCCCAACAACATCCAGCCTGAAAACTGCTGCTATGGTAAGAAAAGAAGAGGAAACCTATAATTTCTTATACTCAGTAAGAGGTGATAATCACAACCTCAGTTAACATAATTATTACTGGGGTTTTTTATAAACATTGTTGCAGGCTCTTCGCTATATATCAGTTTTGGAGAAGGTCCTAGTTACTACTAGATGACTATTGACAATCAGATGAATAAATAAATGGTCAAAGTGACTCTGGTTCTGGGGCTGCTCCTTCTAATATGAAGCCAAATGGAATCATATAGGTACTTGATCAGTTGAAAAGTGGGAACCAGAAGGTAATTATATGGTCACGGAGCTCTCAGGGGACACATACTCTATGAGGGCTACAAAACACTTTATCTCACATACCTGGAAATCAGGTGATTAAAGAATCTGTGGGGATCCAGCTCTGCTTGTTGTGGGAGATCATGAGTGTATTTATGTTACTTTCAGTTATTCTCTTGGGTAATACACAAATTAAGCCACAGCATGTCCTTCAAGACTGTGATTTGACATAAATACTAAGAGACAGAGACACACATTTTATCATTAAATAAGGGATGTGGACTTGAGGGATTAGTGTTTCTTTTAATTCGCCTTAAATGTTTGAACCATTGAGAAGAAATATTAATTCATCAACTGTTTATTTATTGCAAGTGGATTTTAGCCATAGTGATGAGATTTAAGAACACAGACCCATGCAAAATAAACATCATTCTTGTGCCCATGGTGTTTAAATCTAATGGAGAAGATAGACAGTAAGCACATAAACTCCCTAAGAAACATGCATAAATATGCATATATACATATATAAATACATATGTACATATGGAATAAGCATATAACTATACATAAAAATGAGATAAAAAATAAATCTACTTTATATTGTTTGGTCAGAATGTTTTCTCTGGAAAATTAAGATTTCAGCCAAGTTTAAAAATGACAAAGAACCAGTATGGAAAAGATCAATTCCAAACAAAATGAAATATATGTGGTAAAGGACCCAAGTTTCAAGAAAGTTAACAGAATCTAAAAGAAGCCAGAATGTTTTCTTCATAACTAGACTTCTTCCTTGTCAATTTCTGTTTCAGCATCCTCCACCAAAGAAACCTTGACAAACAAAATAAACAGAGTGACACATAAACAAGATGGCAGAATAGGAGACATAATCCTCTTCCCCTCACACAAAAAATCAACCAATAATTATCCATGAATGATAATAGCCCTAGTAGGACTCAAAGGACCATTTAAAAACCTGTAGCAACATAGTGAAACAAAAAAGGTGGGAGAGGAATAACCACATAGAAAAGACTGTTGGAGATTTGTATATACCTGAGATGTCTAGAGATGTCTAGGAACAAAGAAAAGCAGGTTCCAGCATTATCAACCATGTTATGAGTGCCACCATTGTTCCCAGTAACCTGCTGTACAGAGAACACTGCCATCTTTCACTACCAAGATAATCAACAGCCATCCCCACCATGGAGCCCCCAGAAAATGAAACACTGCTGCACCAGTGCTTCCAGAAGGGACAACTGTTTTGTTGCTCCATGGCCAAAGCCACCATTCTTTCCAACTTTGCACCTGCCTCAAACACGGGAGCCACTACTGTTATAGGTTAGCCACACCCCACACCTTAGAGGCCCAGTTGCTGTGTGTGCATACACAGTGCATGCACTAAGTTCACTACAATATTGACCAGCCTGAGGCCCAGAGTCCAGAGCCACTGTAGCTTTGAGCAAACCTACACTCTGGACCCTAGAGCCACTATATCTCTGCACATGCATGGACTTTGGCCCCCAGCTTCTCAGCTGCTTCACAAGTATCTGTGCCCTACACAGAGTTATCAATGCAGCAGTGGGGCATCTACAACCAAGGCATTCATGTCATCAGCACTTCAGACTCCAGAGTGATTTTGCCTCTGTGCATGGCCATGCTTTGTATCAAAGGATACAAAATTTCTGTTAGAAAGGAGGAATAGATTCATAAAACCTACTGTACAACATGATCCATATATTTAAAAACAAGATACTGTGTTCTTGAAAAATGTTAAAAGGATAGAGTCTAAATGTTCTCACCCTCAAAATGATAACTTTTTGAGGTAATGCGTATGTTAATTAGCTAGCTTTAGCCATTCTAGAATGTATATATATTTCAAAAAATTATGTTGTACACAATAAATATGTATTATTTAGTCAACCAATTAAAAATAAGTTAAAAATATTTTCACTGAATACTCATAAGTGTACAAAATGAAAACTTTATTAAATTATCTAAAGTTATGCTTAGGGAGAAATTCCTAGAAAAAAATAAAGACTGAAAATCAATTATTTCAGCATCCAGATCAAGAAGATAAAAAAGAAGAGAAAATTAAACTAAAGGTAATAGAAGAAAAGAATAAAAGTTAAATTGTATACTAATGAAATAATAAAAATCATATAACTTCTAAAAACCAAAGTCAAAAGTTGATATTTAAAAAATACTAATTAAGTTTATGAATCCCTAATAAAACTTATCAATAAATAGAAAAGGCACAAATTACCAATATCTGGAATGAAAAAGGTATTATTAAAAATTTAATCTGAGACTGTTATGAATTACTTAAAGCCACCAATTTTTTAATGTATATAAAATTTACAAATTTCTAGAAGAAAACGTACTAAAACTAACACAAGAATCAAGAAAAAATTTAACAGTCTTCTATTTATATAGAAAACTTAGATCTAAGTATAGATTTATTTATTTATT